CTTTACATGAAACTGGTAAATGATAATACCAGACAAATTTAGACGAGTGAGGATGAGTAAGAAGCGCTGAGATCCAGCAGGGGTCCTGTGTTGAGTTCATTTTCAGCCTTATGGGTGTGTATGGTATTGATTTCAGCATTATCACTGGAAAATAATAATAATGATAATAACAGCAGCCTCTTGTGTCAGACAAAGGACCAACAGGGTGGCAGGTGGAAGCTCTGCTGTTCCTGAGCAACCACTACCATCATTTATTCCTCTGGAGGCACCGAGCAGTGTGTCCTGCACGGAGAGCACATCAGCACTGAGTCCTTACTGGTTCATCAGCCAGATTGAGTTTAAGTTTAAATCAGACTTTGTTTTCTACCTGTGTGACATGACCATCATTGGGCCATTTGTCTTAACACTAACCACACACCAGCTTTGTCAAATTAGCGGGTCAGAGTGGGATTCACGGATTTTGCTCTTGAGTGACAATTCCCATGGTGTGAGCATCCCTGGAATGTGGGAACGATTTTCCATGGACGCTGATTTTGAGATATCAGGTGACGCACAGAGAGTGTTATGCCTACACTGACAACTAAACTACCTCAGATAACAAAACGGTGTGTGTGTGTGTGTGTGTGTGTGTGACCTTGTGCATCTAATATCTCGAAAGAAAAAAAGAAAATTTGTAACAAATGAATGGATTTATTTTGTATGGAGGCATTTTATGTTTTTTTATTTTTATTTTTATTTTGAACATTTGAAGAATTGGTCTCTATTTACTTCAATTGTATTGGATTTAGCTGCAATGCTGTCTACCACTATGTCGTTAAGTGGGAGAAAGGTGCAGTTCAGTGTTTAGTTGACCTGGACTGGGCCAGCACGCACTGATGGTGGAGATAAGAAGTTATGCAACATGTTTTTAACTGTGGCTCATCCTCTGTGCAGCTCACACACCTCAACCGAGAGAAGCAGTGACGGAGCGCAGAGCTCAGGACTCACAGCAGGACGCACAGCAGGACGCACGATGGGCTACTTTCCGGACTTTTCCATCGAAACCTGGATGTTAATAGTGTTCCTCATCACTCTCATCGCAGTGTGAGTATGAGTCTGTTTGTGTTTGTCCTCCGGATCTGCAGAGTTCACCAAACATTGCTGCACAAAATCGGAAACAATGAATCTGGCTGTTTCCTTTTCCTACAGTCCTTTGTAGGAGGCTGTGTGAGAGTTTTTAGTTTCTGCACATTATTTATCTGAGGTTTATTTGACGTTGTGAGGTCTTGTGTGAAAAATGTAACGTTTGAGTCCCCAAGCAATTTGAAGATCACACAGCACTAGAGCACATACTATCCTATAAGTTAAACATTGTTGCAGATGAGAAAAA